GGCCTTGTTGAAGGGAGGGTACTTCTCATCGGTCTCCCCTATGAAGTGGTACCTCCGGAACCCGAGGGTGTATAAATCCTCCTCGAGGGTGCAGTCTTTGATCGCCACGTTCTTATTTTTCCCCTCCGGGAACTTGGCCAGCTTTAGGCCGTCTTTCTCGAGAGCAGCACTCCTGATTTTTTCGTGCCTTCGGAATCGATCACGCAGCTCCCTCGGGAATGGGCTCTCATCCAACTTTACGTAGCACCAACGTTCCCTCCATCCTTTGTTGGAAGAAGGAGCATCGGAGAATAGCTTGAAGCGGGCAATCTGCTGCAGGTTTGCGTACCCCTCACCGTTTTCGTGCCACCCCCCCCCCCCCCGGCACAAATTAAAACTCTGGAAGAATAGATCCAGGTTGGGCTTCACCCCTCGGGACTTGCAGAGCTGGAGGAACCCCGCAATGTAGGAGTGGCTGTTGGGCGTGAGTTGGCAGGGGACCAAACCAACAAACCTCAAATACTCCCGGAGGAACGGGTGCAGAGGGAACCTAAGTTCCATGGAAACCGAGAGGACGTGAATGGCGATACACCCCTCGGGCGCCCTGGACAACACGTCGTGGGGACCTGGCTGCACCACTTCGGCCGAGGGCCCCACGTGCAGCTGAGTCACGTACAGATCTGCCCTATCAGCCTTCGACCTAATCTCGAGGGCCTCAGTGTTCAGCCAACTGTACCCCTCGGTCATGTCCACGGGCTTTCCTTGATCGACGGCCCTCTCCTTCTTCTTGGTAGCGGCCTTCTTCTTCTTCAAACCGGAAACCGCCCTCAGAGGTATCGGATCCAGCGGCCTCGAGCTACTGGCCTCCCCAGAACCCCGAGGGGGGAGAACAGCAATCGTAACCTTCGAGCTCTCATTCTGCGCCTCATCCTCCGCTGTTTGCCATGCGAGGGCTAAGTCTTCATCCTCGCACTCCTGCTCGAAGCCCTCGGCTTCGGCCTCAGCAATGAGTTCCTTCTGGACCTCCCGGGCCAGGGCGGCATCAGCACCATCCGAGGGCTAACCGCTACTGGACTCCACGTCGGAGATGCCTTCGTCCTCCATCGAGGGCGTCCTCGAGATGTCCTGAGAGTCACTCTGGGACGACATTCTAACTCTAGCTCGAGGGTTCGGGGGAACTAAGGTTTCTAGTGAATTCTATCTCCTAACCCGAGGGCACAATGTACAGTTATACTAGAAGGAGAAAGGCAGGGAGCACTGACCTCGAAAGCTGAGTTAAGACCGAAGGCTTGAGTTTCTCTCACTAGATTTTTTGGCAGAGCTTCGCTAAGACAACTGAGTTCGCACAGCGGGGAATGGCCCTGGCCTTGGGGTATTTATAGGCGATGGAATCCGGGCTTGGGCCTGGATTCCGGGCCTCCGGATGGACCACCATCATTACACACCGTCGTTTCACCCAACCGGTGACGCCGCCCACGAACAGCCAGCCATCACACGCCACGTGTGCCACCCCCCCAACGGCTATATCCTGTCGTTACATATTCCAACGGCTATATTTCCAACAGCTATATTCTGGAAGCCCCCGGGTTTTCTACTTCACTCCACTTCATCAAGGATAGCCTCCGGGTACACTCACTCAGAAGTGCCCTCGGGTTGTGCCCCACACAGCACATAACAGACGCCTTCGGGATCACTCCTTCAGAAACCCAGGGCTTCATATCAGGGCACCCCTCGGGGATTCCCCCTCAGCACCGCAAAACCGGGGTAGCCCCCGGGGAGTTGCCTCATTGACGGATGACCCATGGCACCCAGGTAATGGGAGCCCTCGGGTATCTTCACCACCAACTAATCAACAAGCAGTGGGCCCCCCGATAACAACTCCATTACCGCCCTCATCCAGCAGGCCCTCGATCCCCGAATGGAGGGGCTCCCCTTCAGCGCCACCAGGACATCAACAGCAAGCCTTCGGCTAATCAACACAGGAGCCCTCAGAAGAGAGAGCCTTCGGCATTCCCGTCATTCTCCATTTTTACCAAGGTTTGACATTTTCGATTCATCATTGGGGGAATTCGGTGCACTCTTTTTCCCTCATTAGGACTTTTTTCCCAAAGGGTTTTTTCCTAATGAGGTTTTTAACGAGGCATCCCCCCAAAATGAAACGAAAGACGACAGCCTTCGGCCCACAACAGCAACGCAACTACTCTACTCCTTTTCACCACTTTACAAGTGCCTCAAGGAGTGGGGGACTGGAGGACCCCCTTGGGGAAATCATTAAATTACAAAAGATGTAGAAATTCCAACAAACAACAGAGCAAGCCCTCAAGTCCCGACATGTGGGTAACTGAGGGACTGCCTTCGGCAGGGACATAAAAGCAACAACTCCTCACCAACTTCAGAGATCACGACGGGACAACATCAAGGGACAAGCACAAATTACTCCTTTTCCCTCAAGTACCTTTCGGCAAAAGGAGTGAGGGACTCCTGATGGAGTATATGGCCCGGGAACCCCCGGCCCACAGACTCCTACTACTCCAACGAAGGCCCAAAAGGCCCAAAAGGCCCAACAGGCCCAAATCACAGCGCCCAGAGTACCAGGCAGTCCGCACTACGCGCCAGGGGTGCCTTCGGCCCCCTGGCCGAAGGCTCCAAATTCTCACAGAACGGGTTTCTCAAGCAAATTAAGAAACTGGGAGAAAACGGTGAAAACAGTAGCCCTCGGCATTGTGAACCCTCGGCACCAGGGTGCCATCGGGTGGAAGAGCCCTCGGCTACTGCTCTATAGCCGAAGGCATCTCACTCGACAAGATATCCGCCTCACATGCGTACAGATCACCGTACCCCGCATAGACGTCCCATCCAACAGCCGCATTAAATGCGGCCACATGCGGCTGCCAGCGCCAACCAGTTGAGGTGACCCCTCGGCCAATGAGCGCTTGACACGTGTCCCTGCCCGGCATTTATTGCTACTATAAATAGCACCCCATTTCCTCATTTGTAACCACGCTGAAAACGGCATTCATACTGAATACACTGTCTCTCTACTTTTACTTACTTGCTCTGACTTCTCTCTAAGTTATTCCCCGTAATAACCCTTCGGATATATACCCCCAGGTAGGCTATCCATCAGAACCCGAGTTGAGTTTTAAGTTCAAAATATTAATCGAGCCGAGCTCGAACATAGTAGTTTTAGGCTCGGATCGAACTCGAGCCTATCGAACACCCCGAAATTATAAATATAATTTATATATAATAAATATTTAAATGTAATTAGTATGAATTTATGAATTTAAATATGTTTATTAACGAACCGAGTACTTGTCGAATCATTCGAGCACGAGCCTATTAACGAGCATCACCTAAAATTTTAAGTTCGACCATATTTATCGAGGTTATCGAGCACTCAGTTCGAACATCGAACGCCTATCGAGCCGAACATGAGCCTCATTTGTAAAGCTCGTCGAGCTTCGAGCTCGAACCCGAACACCATTAATTCCTTATCGAGCCGAACTCGAGCTTTTGGTGTTCGGGCTCGGCTCGGCTCGTTAACACCCCTAGTCAGCAGAATGGCAGTAGGCCCATACACCCGTGCGCACCAGAGGCCCAACCTTATTTCAGGTTCTGTGACCTCTACCCAGTCGCTGCGGGGATTCGAACCTTGGTCCATAGTTCCAAATCTCCCACCACTCGACCAACTGAGCTACCCGTGCGGGTTATGATAAGGTTAATTACCAAGAGTTACTAAGGAGTGTGTGCTTGAGTCAATAGTTTTTACTCCCTCCGTCCTGCAATGAACTTTCCACTTTCCTTTTTTGGATGTCCCAGAAACAAGTTCTCATTTTCTTAAATGGCAAGTTAATCTACATCAAAACAGTGTCAAACATTGTAAAACAGTGCCAAACAGTGTCGAAACAGTGCCAAACAGTGTCGAAACAGTGCCAAACAGTGTCGAAACAGTGCAAAACAGTGTTGAAACAGTGTCAAAAGAGTAAAATTTACCCCATGGTAAGTTTATTTCCTTAATGTGTGTGTAAGTCAAACTGTGAAGTTCGTTGTGGGACGAAGGGAGTATATGATAAGGTTAATTACCAAAAGCTAATGAGATGTTGTTTGTGCTTGAGTTAAAAGTTGTTATATAATAAGCTTCATTTCCAAAAGTTAATGAGTAGTGCGTGTTTGAGTTAAATGCTATGATATGATAAGGTTATAAAATACCGAAAGTTAATGTTTAAGTCAAAGGTTATCATAAGGTGGCTTATCATTGTGAATCTATTTTTGAGACCGTGGATTGATAAAATTCGTAAGGTTAATTTCCAAAAAAAGGCCAAATGTTCACAATCTAATTGATGCTTACAAAAGTCATCAAGTCCTTCCATGTGAATTGTGTTTTTTTTTTGTTAATAAAAAAGTTAAAAGTAGTTTTATTAAATAGGTACTTTTATCAAAATTAAGTACATAACTAAAGTCAATATTAAACGTAAGCTCTTCAAATTGATCGGTACTCCAGTTTCCAGCTTAAAAAATGGATCGGTTCGGGACCGAAACCAGGACCGCAATTGCCCGGTTCAGTGACTTCAGTCCCCTAGTAGGTGAACCATGACCGCGAACCGCTCTTGGGCGGACAGAGCCGGTCCCAGGCCAGAAACTGGAATCTGGGCCCGGTCGGGTCCCAAACAGTGCTGGGCCCGGTTCTGGCCGGGCCCACATCTAGTACTAATCACCATCCTGAACCATAGGTGCTATGGTTTCATTCTTGCTTCCCCATCATCCCCCAACATCTATACTCCAGTTGCATTCATTCAATTGCCAACCAGAATATCGTGATATGTGCTGAGGTGTCAAATTCAGAACAATAGCCAAGTCTTGTTAGGACAACACTCGGCCAAAATGCCTCGCCATTTGCGTGCTCTCAGTCTCTTAGGGCGGGGCGGGGCAGCGGAGACTGGAGAGAGGCCCGGGGTGAGTCACTTCAACCTTTGGAATGAATCAAAATTATGATTTGAATTTGCAAAATCCAAACCTCAAACAAAGTCTGAATGAGGTTGGTGAAAAACTGTACAACATCCTCATTCATCCAATAATATTTCATCAATTATCATCGTCAGTCACAGAACATACATGGGTTTTAATGGTTACATAAAATGACGCAAAGAGCTAATGCATGTTAACATACAATCAAATGATGTTGTTGGAAGAATCCTCCGGTTGTTAATCTGCAGGCAGCTTGACCCGCTTATGTAAAAAAACCATGACGAAGATGAATGCAAGAATGGCTTCTCCTCTTGGGTTAGAATACTACCTGAGTGGTCAATCCAAACCCAGTGGTCAATATTGTCTTTCGACATGGTTATCCGAACATAAGAATTCAAAGCAGCAAATTGCACAAGCAAACAGCCCAATGCCTTACTTTGTCATTGCTTGAATCAGAAACCAACATGGTTTACCTCCCTTCCATGCTTTTCATTCTCAGAGACGTTTTGGAGGAGGTTTCAAGATCGTCATCAACAAAGTTTTGATCTGTGACCTCTGGTGAGAGAGCAAAACAACATCATTAGGACACGTCTTAGACGGTTTCAACCTATTCAATTAGTGCAAAGATTCTAATGTTCAGCAAATAAAAACATTAGTATATAGGTGAAGTAATAGTATCTCGATAAGAGATTTGGGAACATATATGGTTTTGAAGACTGTCATTTTTAAAACTATACCGTTGCACGAGATTTTAGATAGCAGTTACATAAACTTTTGCTTTTAATAGGTTGAATAGAGGGGGAATTTGACTTTGCACTCCAATATTAGACTTTGCACCCCATTTTCAAATTTCATTTCAGCCCAAAAATTGTGAAGGAATGGGGTGCAAAGTCAAATGATTTTATACTGAAATGGGGTGCAAAATGGGGTGCACACATTAATGATTTTAAAAATAGGGTGCAAAGTCAAATAATTTTATACTAAAATGAGGTGCACACATTAATGATTTTAAAAACAGGGTGCAAAGTAAAATGTCGCCCAAAATGGAGTGCGGAGTCAAACCCCCCCTTGAAAATATTGGCTTTTTGCATATTTGTTTTGTGAAAAAAGATCAAATGTGGAACGTTTTGTTACATATCATTTTATGTTTTGAAATTAAAAAAAAACTGACAAAAGGCAAAAAATGCGCAAATAAATAAACTAATATTGCAGTGTATTGATCTCAACATTTTGATAGCACTTTGAGTTTTATTAACAAGTTGCCAAAATAGTCTGCCACACTCCTAATTGAATAACATTTTACTAAAAATAGTTTTTTGGAAACCAAAACGCCAAGCCAAAGATCGCTTTGGCAAGTGAAATCTACAATTATAGTTACCTGTAATGCTATCATTTGACTCCTGGTGCAAATCAAACTGAGCCTCATGGTTGCAACTCATCATTCCAACAGGCACATGAATCTCTTCTTGAGTGTTTGAAGATGTTCCAACATGATGTCTGACCAGTCTATAGTGTTTGATCCAAGGGCTTGCCAAGAACAGACCAGTTCCTTCTCTTCTATTCAATCTAGGAGACATTGGTTCACCTCTACTGACATCAATTTTGGTCCAATTTCCATCTTGAAAGATTTTAAACTGAAAGATTCAAGGTAAAGAACATAACTAAGCAACAGCAATATCACTGGGTTCTTGAAACAACAAGAGCATTAATTATGTGATATGGTGTAAGATTGAGAAACCTGTCCAGAAGTGGAATGCTTTTGCTTGGAGATTTTATGATCTGACGAGCATTTATTCCGAGAGTGCCAACCGAATGACTCCAAGGAATCATATAGCTGATTAACAAAAGACGTCTCCATAGAACTGAGATACATGCTATGTTTCTCATTCGTCCATTCGTTTTTTCCCGGTTTTGTTGTTTGGGATCCCTATCATGACAACTTCCAAGGTGAGAACTAAATTCCATTCAACAACCAACAAAAAACAAGATGAGCTTAATTTTGTATGCATTAAGTTAATGCATACAAAATGTATTTGTTTCTAACCAAACGATATCTAAAAGATGACGAAAAAAATACATGCCTAAATAAGACTAGAACCAAACAGATTTCCCCGTATGGGGTGGTTATCATTATTTTATCTCAAAAGAGACTCATTTACACGAAAAAACAAATGGTTACTACTTTATTTCTCCTATAGGCTACAAAAACACAGCATTACCAACTACTTGTTATTTTAAATGATTAAAAAATCATACTTGAGGGGGAAATTCTTTTATTAATCTTATTCGGAACAACACTAAATGGGTTTACTGACTAATATTCTAATAAAGTGCTTTATCTTCATTTGATATTTGTTTTTAATTTCATTATGCTAGTTAGCAGATAAAAAAAACTACAATATGGAGCAATATGGTTACGCAACTGAGCCTTGACACATTATAAACCTTTCTTCTAGCTAGCATTGCATAATTCATTCCTCTACTCCAATCTTCCATAAGGAAATCTAGAAATGGAACCAAAGAAATCAAGGAAACCAGGTTATAGAAAATGCTAATGATCTGTTTTTAGCTTATAGATTTGCAGGATCATCTCAGAAACCCTAGCCACCCACGCACAAGCTCAAACACATAAGCATTGAACTAAACACAAGCCATTCCGATTTCCGCATTGAAGAAACAAACACGGAAATCTAAAACGAAGCAAGCTGTGAAACAGTAGATCAGAATCCAACAGAATAGCAAATGAAATTAACCTCAATGGATGAACTAGCACCGTGTTTGTCGATATTCATTTGTTCTCCATGAACGCCGGTTCCTTCTCGAGCCTTCTCCTCCGATTCAACCAGAGGTTCCATCTCCACCAGATATTACTATCAGAAAACAGGGAACAGGTCTGGAAATGGAACTCTTTTCAGACGGAGGGGAAGCGAAAAATAATGTTAAAAGGGCAGGAAAAGCGCGCCAGCTGTCACCGCCTTTACACGTGGTAGTTGACCGCCGCCCATGGTGCAATATTGCGTAGAATATAACGGCCAGATATTTTGAGGGAGCCTTCCCCAAAAAAATATCAGCTTCCGGCGGACCCACAAAATATCTCCCCATTTTTGTTTTTCTTTTTTCTTTTCTTTTTCGTCTTGGAGGAAACAAAATATCTTTTCCTCAATGTTGGATTAGACGCGAGTGGAGGATTGAGTAGTGGTTCTCTTAACTTCAACTTTGATTCAAAGTTTGGTATCATGCGAGAGATCTTATGGTGTGGCTGTTAGATTATTGGACTTAGACTATCATTGGACTTACACAATATATTATTTATCGGGTTTAATTGTATGTTATATGCTATCTTATATTTAAGCCCAAAAATTAGTGGTCCTATGAATATTAATTTAAGTGGGCTAATAAGTTATCTAATAAGGTATAGGGCCCAAATGTGTAGAGACCCATGGGCTTGACCTAATCAATGATGGGCTGATTAGGGTTAAGCACTCTATAAATAAGGGGTTATGGTCCCTAGTTGTACACGCCATTCTATCTTTCTGCATCCCATCGCTAGAGAGATAATCCCGAGGGTGTGTATCAACTAGAAGACGCAAACCCTAGCCTCCGTCTCCCGGATCTCTAAAGGTCATCTCCCATGGAGTCAGGTACGCTTCCGCTCAGTTAATTCTCTAGATAATTTCAATATGAAGAATAAACTATTCATGGATTTATTCCAACAATTGGTATCAGAGCCTCCTTCATATTGAATTATTTGGAGTATTCATACTTTTATTTCAATCTTAAACGATTGAATTTCGGATATTTCTTTTGTCATATGATCTGCCGATTAAGTGGAATCATGGTAATGCAATTTTGCTTTTATGCAATTAGTTCTTAATGATTAATCAGCGGTCGATGATTAAATAGAAATCAAGCATGTTGATTTTCTCTGGTTGCTGCCGATTTTTTGTCAGCGGCATAATGAAGTTGATTTTGGTTTCTTTGCCTTAATTTTTAGTCTGATTTGCACAGTTACGGTTTGAGTTGTTTACGTTTTCTTTTATTATCAAATTGTGATTCTATTGCCACTCACATGTTTGTGATTGAACAAAATACCGTTTGTTCCTTGTGTCATTGGGTTTTACGGAATAATCAAGTGGCAATTGAATTACTTTTGATTTATTTAAATTTTGGAAAGGATCTGCAATTCAGTTTAAATTGCTATGTGATGAAGTGGAATTTGAAATTCTTTGTTTCACCTTGTATACTGTTGAGCAATCTGTTATTTTTTTTTTGGTTTAATCGTCACTATCCAATAAATTTTAATGGATCGCATTTAATTTGGAATCATTCGTATATGTGGAAATTTTTTAAAATTTGGGGATTCTCTTGTATGTGGTAAATATATGTGAATCGTGATTGTTTCCAATTTTTTTTGACTCAAAAGTATGAGTATCAAATTAAATTTTGATATGTTACCTTTTTTTTTGGGGGTGATTCAATTTTGGTATTTTCTACGACTTTGGTAATTAAATACTTATATATGATCACGGCCAATGTTAGTTCTATTAGAATTGCATATTTGGAAATAGATTACTTTTATTGATGATCATGACTTACGGCTTGAAAAATGTTTATTGTGTGTTATGGATGTATAAACCCTATTTTGTGATCACATAAAGATTGGGTACAGGTTTTACAAATTTCGTTATACATAACACATTTGCATGTGATTCAGAAAAATTTGCCCAATTTTATTTTTCAGATTTTCGAGTTAATATTAGCATGTCTAATATTTGAGTTAGTTAATTGATACAACATGCTGCCAAAGTAGCCTCTCTTGTTGAAATTAATTAACTCATATATTAAGATGATTGTGTACTTTCTTATTTCATGCGGATAATAATCGGCCCAAAGGAAGGTTATTATTTGGCCGAAATTTAAGTACATTTGTGATAATAAAATTTGTGATGATTATGAAGTTTTTCGTGTGAATATTAAGTCGGTCCAAAGAAAGGCTTTGTATTTGACATGATTTTATTATCAAAATTTTATTATTACGCCAAGAGTACCACTTGCAAGTCTAATTTATGTCAAAAGACAAGATTAAATGTTGCGTTGGGTAACTTGTGATGGGGATTGCTAATATTTAAATTTAAAATTAATTATCAAATTAATTTCAGTTCCTAGAGCATATCATTTATATTATTTTTTGTTCTCTTTCAGTCAACAATTCTGCTGCTACAATATCTGCTAATATTAATAGCATCCCAGTGCTTAACGGAACGAATTTTAAGGAATGGAAAGAGAATGTTATGATCGTTCTCGGTTGCATGGATCTAGACCTTGCACTTCGGACTGAGAAACCCGCCGCTCTTAAGGACACATCTACCCTCGATGAAAAGAGAGAGATGGAGAGGTGGGAACGCTCAAATCGCATGAGTCTAATGATCATGAAACGTGCAATTCCAGAATCATTCAGGGGCACAATGTCTGATGAGGCTGATGCCAAATCGTTCCTTGCCGAACTTGAAAAGCGTTTTGCTAAAAACGAAAAGGCAGAAACTAGTACTCTTTTGAGCACTCTTGTTTCCATGAAGTATAAAGGCAAAGGGAACATAAGGGAGTACATTTTGGAAATGTCTCACATTGCTTCAAAACTAAGTGCACTGAAGCTTATTTTACCTGAGGAATTGCTTGTGTATTTAGTTTTGATCTCTCTTCCTTCTCAATTTAATCAATTTAAAGTCAGTTACAACTGCATTAAGGAGAAATGGTATCTCAATGAGCTCATTTCTCATTGTGTTCAAGAGGAAGAGAGAATAAAGCAAGATAAGACAGAAAGTGCTCATTTGGCATCTACCTCTAAGGGCAGCAATAAAAGAAAAATTAAGGAAGCTGCAAATTCGGGGCCTCCCAGGAAGCATCACAAGGAAACTAAGGAAGAAACTAAGGAATCTGGATGCTTCTTTTGCAAAGGGACTAATCACAAGAAAAAGAACTGCACTAAGTACCATGCTTGGCGTGCGAAAAAGGGTATGTCTCTTGCTCTTGTTTGTTCTGAGGTTAATTTAATTTCGGTACCAAAAGACACTTGGTGGGTAGATTCCGGTGCTACTACTCACATAAGTGTATCTATGCAGGGTTGCCTGAGCTGTCGAAAACCAATTGATGGTGAAAGATACATCTATGTCGGTGATGGCAAGCGGGTTGAAGTTGAGGCTATCGGTGTTTTTAGATTATTATTAAAGACTGGTTTTTATTTGGATTTGAAAGAGACATTTGTTGTGCCGTCATTTAGGCGGAATTTAATTTCTATTTCTGCATTGGACAAATTTGGTTATTCTTGTTCATTTGGAAATAGTCAGTTCAGTCTATTTCAAGATTCAAAACTTATTGGTACTGGTCTTTTATCAGTTTATGATAATCTATATTCACTTGATATAAATACCTCATATAATGAAACCTTGCATGTAAGTACTCGTGGTACTAAAAGAAAATTAACCAATGAGAATTCATTTTCACTTTGGCACAAGCGTCTAGGACATATTTCTAAAGAAAGAATTCAGAGACTTGTGTCAGATGGAATTCTTGATTCTCTTGACTCCTCAAATTCTGATATTTGTGTTGAGTGCGTTAAGGGAAAACAAACGAACAAACGGAGGTTAGGTGCCGAGAGAGCTTCAGATCTATTAGAATTGATATATACGGACATTTGTGGACCATTCCCTACACCATGTAGAAATGGCCAAACATATTTTATCACATTCATAGATGATTACTCTCGTTATGGTTACCTTTATCTCATTCATGAAAAGTCCCAATCAATAGACGTGTTCAAATCTTATAAGGCCGAAGTTGAAAATCAATTAGGCAAAAGAATAAAAACCGTTAGATCTGACCGTGGTGGTGAATACTATGGTAGATATGATGGTTCCGGTGAACAACGTCCAGGGCCATTTGCTAAATACCTAGAGGAGTGTGGAATTGTTCCTCAGTACACCATGCCAGGAACTCCTAGCATGAATGGTGTTGCTGAGAGACGAAACCGTACATTGAAGGACATGGTTAGGAGTATGATTTGTCATACTACTTTACCCGATTCACTCTGGGGAGAGGCACTGAAAACTGCAGCTTACATACTTAACAGAGTTCCCACTAAAGCTACAACTAAAACCCCTTATGAAATTTGGACTGGAAAGAAACCCAGTATAAATCATTTCCATGTTTGGGGTTGTCCAGCTGAGGCAAGGCCTTATAGGCCAAATGAAAAGAAACTGGACTCAAGAACAGTTAGTAGCTATTTTGTAGGATACTCTGAGAGGTCAAGGGGGTATAAATTTTACGATCCCACTACCAGGACTATTTTTGAGACGGGTAATGCTCGGTTCTTTAAGGATATTGAGTTTGGGGGGTGGGGAAATAAGGTTAGAGATTTTGTCTTTGAGGAAGAACATGTTACTCTTCCTTCAGTTGTCATTGAACATGATCAAGATATGTTTATTCCTAATAATGTTCAAGAAACAACTCCAGTTCATGACAATCTCGAAAACATCCCCAATCAAGTACCTGAATTTGTTAATGAGGATCAAACTCAACAACCTCAAGAACCTGAGGTGCCATTAAGGAGATCCACTCGAGAGAGGAGAAGCGCAATTCCGGATGATTATATTGTATTTCTCCTAGAACATGAGGAAAATTGGGAATTGGTGGAAGAAATAATTGTCTTCCTCCAAGAACAAGAATCAAATGTTGGTTTTGCGGAAGATGATCCAATCAACTTCCGTCAAGCCATGGAAAGTTCTAACTCTCAAGAATGGATTAATGCCATGAAAGATGAGATGAAGTCTATGAGTGACAATGACGTTTGGGAGATAGTCTCATTGCCTGAAGGTATTAAACCCATTGGTTGTAAATGGATATTTAAAATCAAGAGGGATTCAAAGGGCAATGTTACAAGGTTTAAAGCTCGTCTTGTTGCTAAAGGCTACACTCAAAAGAAATGAATTGACTATAAAGAGACTTTCTCTCCGGTATCCTCGAAAGACTCTTTTAGAACAATAATGGCATTAGTGGCACATTTTGATCTTGAGCTTCATCAGATGGATGTAAAAACTGCGTTTCTCAATGGTGACATTGAGGAATCAATCTATATGGAGCAACCAGAAAACTTTGTTTCGGGGGATTCAAAGAAAATGGTTTGCAAATTAAAGAAATCCATCTATGGGCTCAAACAGGCTTCTCGTCAGTGGTATCACAAGTTTCATAAAATCATTATATCTTTTGGTTTTCAACCAAATGTCAGTGATGATTGTATATACCACAAGTTCAGTGGGAGTAAGCATATTTTCCTGGTCTTGTATGTTGATGACATACTGCTTGCTACTAACGATATAGGCTTATTACACGAAACTAAGAGATTTCTTTCAAAGAATTTTGAAATGAAAGATCTTGGTGAGGCTTCTTTTGTATTAGGAATTCAAATTCACCGAGATCGCTCCAAAGGCGTTCTTGGACTCTCACAAAAGAGCTATATCGATAAGGTTCTCAAAAGGTTTGGTATGCAAGACTGCAAACCAGGAGATACCCCAGTTTCTAAGGGAGACAAGTTTAGTCTCATGCAGTGCCCTAAGAATGGTTTTGAATCTAAAGAAATGAGGAACATTCCTTATGCTTCGGCTGTAGGAAGTTTGATGTATGCCCAGGTTTGTACAAGGCCTGATTTGGCATACATTGTTGGGATGTTAGGCAGATATTTGAGCAATCCGGGAATGGACCATTGGAAAGCAGCCAAAAGGGTCATGCGGTATTTACAGAGAACAAAGGAATATATGCTCACATATCGGAGATCGGATGAGCTTGAGATCATTGGGTATACCGACTCTGATTTTGCTGGATGTCAAGATAGCTTGAGATCCACTTCAGGCTACATCTATATTCTAGCTGGAGGAGCTATCTCCTGGAGGAGTATCAAGCAGACTCTTACAGCTACTTCCACCATGGAAGCAGAGTTTATAACATGTTATGAGGCATCCAATCAGGCATTATGGCTGCGAGATTTTATTAATGGACTACGCATAGTGGACAACATTGAAAGACCACTCAAGCTATTGTGTGACAATAGATCAGCAGTCCTCTATGCTAAAAATAACAGTAGTTTGACCAAGGCAAAACACATTGGGGTCAAATTTAAGGCTGTTAAGGAACGAGTACAAGAAGGAAAGTTATCTATAGAGCACATTAGCACAAACTCCATGATTGCGGATCCGCTCACTAAAGGATTACCACCCAAAGTGTTTCATGAGCATGTTGCACAAATGGGTGTCAAATCAGTTGAGGATTATGAGTTTTAGTGGGAGTTTGTAATGTTTCTATATTTGGTTAATTGACTTGATTCAAGTTTTTAAGGTTATTTTCTGCAGAAATTTAGTTTAAAGTTTTATGTACTCTTACAGTTATATTATTGATCTCAAGGTGGACCAGTTGGAAATAGACATTCTATTCCAGATCACACTTTATGTTATTTCCACGCTACACACCTATACTTGATCCATGTCGTTTATTATATTAATATATGTGATCATTGATGGGTCTAGTTATTCAAATATAGCAAAGACTTCTTTGGTCCTATGTTGATATAATTAATGGACCGGATTGATTAAGGATGACTACAGTTTGATAGCAATAATTTGGAGCTCCTAAAGTAAACATACAATTCTAAGGATTGTGTATTCATGAGTATGTCGTCCAAGTGGGAGATTGTTAGATTATTGGACTTAGACTACATGTAATATTCACAATATATTATTTATCGGGTTTAATTGTATGTTATATGCTATCTTATATTTAAGCCCAAAAATTAGTGGTCCTATGAATATTAATTTAAGTGGGCTAATAAGTTATCTAATAAGGTATAGGGCCCAAATGTGTAGAGACCCATGGGCTTGACCTAATCAATGATGGGCTGATTAGGGTTAAGCACTCTATAAATAAGGGGTTATGGTCCCTAGTTGTACACGCCATTCTGTCTTTCTGCATCCCATCGCTAGAGAGATAATCCCGAGGGTGTGTATCAACTAGAAGACGCAAACCCTAGCCTCCGTCTCCCGGATCTCTAAAGGTCATCTCCCATGGAGTCAGGTACGCTTCCGCTCAGTTAATTCTCTAGATAATTTCAATATGAAGAATAAACTATTCATGGATTTATTCCAACAGTGGCTCCAAAGCTAGCTCGATCTTATACATTTTTACATAATTTCTCATCGCAATTGTTGAAATTTGAATTTGACACTTACCTTTTGTACTACTTCCATCCTATTAGAAATTTAGAAGGTTCTCGTCCACTATTCTCATGATCAACTTAAATCATTTTTAATCCTTTACTTTATAATTCAAATTTTTATCAAATTTACATTTTTTTCAAGCTTTGTAGCAGTTTTAATGTAGTTTCTGAATATGTTAGTTTTATTTACTAAAAATAATCAGAGTGTGAGCAGGGATTAAGTTGCTTTATCGTCAGTCAAGCATCGTAAACCGTTCACGGGAACCTTCTAGCGGGACGGAGGGAGTAACAATCGCGTTTGAGCTACACTCACTAGCAAAGAACGCTACTTTCATTTCTTAAAGAACTCTACTTTTGGTAGTTTTTTACTTCCTCCGTCCCGAATTGAATTGCAAACTTTGACCGGCACAAGGATTAATGAATGACAATAAATCATGCTTGTTTTTTACACTTTTGCTCATCTTTCTAAAAGTAGATGTCTTTAAGTTAATGAGGAAAAAGTAAAAGTAATGATAAATTTGTTACTTTATTCTTATTTACATACCCAAAATAGAAAGTGGAAAATCATTTGGGACAACCAAAATAGGAAATTCTGCAAATCAAATTGGGACGGAAGGAGTAATTTTTAAATGTATATTAAATCACGGTAAACATTAGAAGGCACGACTAATTAAATAAACATGACTAAATCAGTAGCTCTTGAATCAGATAAAGAGTCGATCATCTCGATAAGAATTACTCCCCTGTCCCTCAAGATTCCACTGAGTTTGATCAACACAGAAAATAATAAAGTAAAAATTGCGTGTTTAAAATTTGTGTAGAGGAAAAAAACATAACAAGAATCATAAATTAATCGATTAAAAGAGAAAGATGCAAAGTTTTTTGAACAAACACCAAGCTACGGAAGGATTATGTGAATAATTTTACATTGAACAAATGTAAGTCACGTCGAGCACAATACAAATGCACATGGTGCCGGTGAATGATTTAACCCATTTATTAGGTCTAATACAAAACAAAAATCAACATTTACGAGACTTTAGAAACGATGATGATTCTTAATTTCTTAGGAACAATGATGATTCTTAGGAACCCGTAATAA